TTTACTTATCATAAGATATATATATATATATATATATATATATATGTTGCATTTATTATGCAATGAAATGTTTAGTAGAAACTATAAGTTAAATTGAAGCAGTATGTTAATGAATAATAGTATTTTAACATTGAGTTGGTATGTAATATTATTATTGCTATTATTATTTCCATATTTTACTCAGTCCCTCTACTTTCTCATCAAGTTGAAACTTTTTAAATTTCATTTAAATTTTTTTTCACTATAGGTCTTATAGAGACTAATTGGAAAAACAAACACGAGGTTTTATTAGGAGTGGTTACCCTTATAAACACACAAAGTTTCTGATAACTACAAGAGTGCCAGTAAGTATACTTGTTTCATTTGGATGTTCCTTGATTTCAACAACCCCTCATAATATTTTAGATACCCATGTAATATAGCTAATAACTTCAGAAGTAGAGAGATGCCCATTTCAATTGTATCGAACTAAGAATATCATGATGCTATTTTTCTATGACCTGATGTAAGAAGTCAAAATCAATAATATAAACGGGGTATTCAGGCTTAGTATACCGAGTCAGTATGAATCTAGTAGTAAACACTAATGGATGCGCAATTAGGATTCTAATATTTACATCTGATCAGTACTATAGTTGCATCGCAGCAGCGTATTTTCTATCCTGAAAAGGTACACATGACCTCTTCATACTTTAAGGAATTCTGAATATCTAACACATCAAATCTAAAGGTTTGACCTCTGTTATTGTTGTACAGAGTGATACCTGGAGGGTTGTACATTATGAACTCACAAAAATATTGTATACAAAGAAATTGTGAAGCTGTTATGCTCTATATTTCTTCAACACTTCCCTAAGTACACCATGTTGGGCTACAATTCTATCACTCTTTTTTAAGACTTTCAAGAGGGCCTACTGATGATTAGTGTTAAAATGACGGTTCTCTTGGATTTTATTTTAGGAACTTCGACCGATAATCTGAATGCATCTAAATGAAAGATTTTGATACAGGATGCGTCACTATCAGGAGTTTACACACTGAAATGATTTAATGGATCAAACCGGTTATGAAAAAGGCTTTGTAGCATTGAGTTCAACCCAGCACGCGTGATATGTACTTGCCGCACTAGAACGACCGCCCTCAGAATTGATAAGGATAACAAAACAACATTTGAGAAACATCTGTGTGTATTCCCATGAGCGTGTACGGGTGGGATTGTACATCACTTCATTTTAATTCTATTCCGATAAGTCAAATCCAATTTGTCGACGGTTCTCTTCTCTCTTTCCTTTCTAAAGATCGCTTTACAGCTAGAAAGCCTATTAATGCTAAACAGCACACTTATATGATAAAGCTTTCAACAAGGTCTATTCGTGGATCTGGAAGAAAGCCATCATCGCGGTATTTGTTCATATGGAGCGTTTTATCACGGAGGAGTGTGAATCTTTTAGGACGATGAGTGTATTTTACACGAGGTTTTTCCTTCCTAATGCCAGAATCCACGCGTATTTCATAGAAAAATGAAGGGCTGATATTAGACAAACCCGTAATTTAATCGCCAATTAGCACAATTTAGCGGGCAATCGGAAGTCTTGCAAGGAAATGTTAAATATTCAATCTGAGAGGGTAGATCAGACATCAGAGGAAGGGGTATCGTAAAGGCCTTGTATGCTTCAAGTTGAGGCTGTCTGCGTGAAGAGCATGATATTACGCAGTTGAATGATGACATGTTCTAATGTATCTATTAACGGATAGCTTGTTCTTAACTATAGTTCATAACCATCATATTTCTCTTATTATTGATATCAGTCCATTTTTATTATCAATCGTTCCTACTGAATGACATTAACTGTCTCAATTCTTAGAAGTTTACCGTTGCTTTTATCAAGCTCTACGTTAAATAACAGTACTCATGCTTATTGATGCCCATATGGTTTATTTGTTTAACAGAGAAAACAGAAACACATTTTTTATTTTTCATATTAACTAAAGTTGCAGATAAAAAAGCTTTAAATAAAGGAAACCCCAATTAAATAAATAGTGAGTTAAATACACAATCTACCGTTTGTTATCTTGTACTATTTTGTTATCGCAAAATGTTTAAAAATTCACTTGTAAGTTCTAATTTATTGCCATTTCATTATTATTCTAGAAAAAACGTATAACAAAGTTTCTATTTTTTTCCTATTTTCACCAATTACATTCCATTAAGTTGATTCGCTCGAGATTAGGTACCCAAATGTACTTTAACATATTTTCTGCATTTCCTTTCCTTGTATTTTTTTTGCCATGTTGTATTATGAATCTGTTTTTTTAATACTTTTGAAGAAAAAACATTCTCTGTTTTAAATTTTCCCTCTAATCTTTAAATTATCCTCAATAAACAGTAAGTATTTTATGCATTAACTTTTTCATCGCTCATAATTCACATACACCCATCTCCTCCGCCTTTTCCGATAATCATACTCTTCCTATTAATAAAAAGAACTCCTGTAAGCAAACAAATCCAAGGCCCTTTCCCCGTGCACAGTAATCTTTCTCACCCTTCCCGCATCCTCCTTTTTCTCTCAGATTTTCATTTTCATCATTATCCCCCGGCCCCACACCAGAGCGGTCCGAGATGCAGCCCTTTGATGGTGTTCCACTGGACTGCGCTGGCTTTGGGGGCCCATGCGCGGGGCCCCCCTTTCCCTTCATCCCACCAAAAGGGGGCGTTTGGGATCCCTTAGGCCGGGGACAGGACTGGACCGCAAAACAGGGCGGGGGGGGGAATCCCTCCCCCGGGTTCGGCCGGAAGGGCAGCCTCTACCTCCCCCAACGCAATCGTGAAACGCAGCAGACTGTCAACGTCTGGGGCCTCGGAGGCCCCACCGTCGAGGACTTCTCTGCGCAGATCTATGGGGATATGGCTTACCGCAGGGAGGGTCAATCTGTGAACGGTGTTCGACCCCTTCGCACCTTTCGTGGGATGGTGAATAGCAGCCAGGACGTCAGTAAGCCGCGGCGCGTCTCCACCCGGCGCAATTTGCAGGACCGCGGCAGCACCGGATACGGCGGGATCGCCTTCAAACGCTCGGTTTGTATGTCCAATGGGGAACCTGCAGGGGTAGGATCTATCCCTATGCAAATGATGGGCGTTCCAGAACCCTTTCTAGAGACATGCCCAGAACCGATGCTTCCATGGGAGTCCATGGAGGTGGATGTAGACAATTCCGTGGGTTCCGTGAGCGTGTTGGAAAGGGCGCCTCAGTGAAGTGAAATAGCATTCCTGAGTATTAGTATATAGCGCACTAAACTTATCCAATTAAACAGGATTTTCAACTAAGTTGTCATTGTTATGAGTTTCTATGAGCCCTATAGTTTCATATTGAAATTCAGATATTTTAATACATACTTATATATTATACAAAGGATATTTATTACGTTGCTTTATTAAGTATTCTTTTCTATGTATATTCTCTTTATCAAGTACTGAATTGAACATATATTTCATATTAAAAAGACACCTTAATATTGTATAGTTCCAATTTTGATTCATAGTTGAATATGATTTCTTGTATTCATTGTAATAAAGGGTAAGTACAAGCATATGTTCATAGAATAAACATGTTACATGAATGATATTTATATCGAACGCGATATTTATTACAGCTTTCAAAATGCAGGTGTTATATGGAGAGGTATAGTGATGAATATGTATTATTATTATTTATAAATTACAATTTGCTCTATTATTTGATATCATTACTTTTCTGTGCCGCGGCGATATTCTGTTACAAGTTCTTAAAAAAAAGTGAACACTCATGCTACTGTAGTCTTATTTTCTTATATATATTTCTCCTCTTTCGCCTTAAGGTCTTTTTTTTTCAAATTTGATGTCAAAAAAACGATGTGAAGAGTTATTACTCTTGTTTCTATTTCAACTCTGTAGAAATATCAAAAAAAAAACAGAAAAATTTTTTGATTTTAACTTTTCAATCAATTTCTATTGATCTTGAAATATGAAAATGACATATTATGATTGTTTCGTAAGAAAATTCTGAAAAACTGCTAATGTCAACAATAAACATGTACTAAGAAAACTCTATTCCAGGTTTTCTATTATCTTTTTACTGTTAATATCCTAAGTGGGGCTGTATATATCACATTTCAGGGTTAGTTTGGATCCTTCGTGTCATTGTGTGTGTATGTAGACCTAATAAAGTGGCTAATGAAAGATTCGACAGTTCATTTTTCATTTTACTTTCTTTAAATTCAAGTTTACGTAAAACTTTGTCAAATATTATGGTTCATTTCCTCTTTTTACGTATATGTTGATGTTGTTTTTGTGGATTTTTAGGAAATTGTTTTAGAACTACTACCTTGATTTTCATTATTTTAAGAGGTTTGGCTACTAGTGACTTATGTTTCTTGATATCTAAACTTATTTCATCTACTTAAGACCAGTAGTTCATGTGGAGTCATTTGCATTGATGCAATGATATTTTTTGCTACACTAACGCAAACTTATCAGATATTATGTTTTTTTTAAGCCGATTTGATTTTAAATTGAATATTTTATACATAGGGTTTTTTATTTATAGTTGATTTTCATTTAACTAAACGTATTCCATTTAGGTTATTTCAAGGGTTTTTGATTTATATATTTTTTTGTGTAGTTCCAAGATACTTGTTTTTGATATTTTTTTGACTTTGTAGACTGCTATAAATAGAAAAGACTGATACAACAACAAAAGGTACTTTTTAATATCAATAACGTGTTAAAAAAACACAATGAGTTTAGCCCAATCACAAATATCATCTGTATCCGATTCTGCACCTTCTCTTCCTCGGCCAAGCTCGATTTTACAGAAGCAAAGCAGCTTTTCAAGAGAAAGCAAAAAAGCTGTTACCCCATCTGAAACAATTAATAGCCTCAAAGTAACATCAGCCGGTTTCAATGATAGTAACCCTGCCCAAGTGACAAGTGTTATACATTCGAGAGGCAATTTACCCATTGAGAGTAGATCCAAACTTTCCGCTTCGGTGATGACAGGACAAGATGCCGAGACCGCAAAGAAGCTCTCCCATCCCCATTCTGCTTCCGTCCCGCACAAACCCATACCCATGCCTACCCTTGCCCGAAACTCCTTACCTGTGCCCTTGCAGTCATCCGAACTCACGTCCGTCCCGGCACGAGTAACTACACGTGTACCGTTACGGGTGTCTGGATCCTCCCCCTCTCCCCCCCTCCCTTTATCAAAAGTGACAAGTGAAGCACAGACTAGAAGGAAGCAGTCACCACCTAGGGCACTCCCTCAGCGTGTCGTCACAGAGGATTCCACCGCTCGAAGGCAATCAAAGGACGTTAAGTCACAGGACATGGAGGGGGTTAGGCGTGTGTCCGATGGAACTACACCGTCCGCAGTAGGGGCCCCTTCCCTGGCTTATCCTTCACTAGGGAATAATTGTATCTCAGGTAACAACAGCTTTGGACCCTCCGGCTTCGGCAGCTTTTGCTATGGGATGGGTTCGATGGGACCCATGGGATACCAAAACCCCTTCTCTGGTGAAAGTATGTATGGTCTAATGGGTTCCGCTTACAGTAGCATGGGGCCAGGGCGATTATCAGGCATGGGTTCTTTTATGTACAGAGGCATGGATGTCGGGATGCCGGGATGCGTTCAGAATCTATACCCTAGTGCTTATGGTAGTTTTCGATATTCAAACCTATCAATGGATCCTATGCGTAGCTGTAGTTTTATTGGCAACCTTAACGGATCCTTTTATGGATCTAGAGGGATTGGCTCCATTCTAAATACTTCCCTGTATGACAATCCTTATATGGAGAACAGTTTTTATAAAATTTCCAATTCAAATAAAGGCAGTGATTACGGACTCGCAGCTCAGTGGTCCAGCCTGTCTGATATAAGTAATGTGAATGATAAAAGTGATCCTCTGACAAGCAGCCACAATAGGTTCCAACAGGGATCCAACCTTCAGCCGGAGGATTTCTATCCGAAAAGCGAACAGGATACTTGTGTTCTTATTAAGCGTAGTGGCCGCCGTGGTGGTAAGAGCCTTTCCACTAGCACTAATAACGATAAGTTGATTAATACTGAGATCAAAATCAAACGAGCTCCCGTGAACGAAAACAAGAAAGCTGGGACATCATCTATTGAACAGAGTCCTGGAGTCAGTATTGCTTCTACCAGGCCAAATGAGGATAGTCATAAACATCGTGCTGCAGTTCCTACTTCCTATGATATTCATACGCTTCTTATTGTGGACAAGGTTGCCGGTGGCAAACCTGATATTGTCGTTAGAGATCCCAATACAGTAGTACTTAAGAAAAACAATAGAAGTGAAACTTTTGAGTGTGATGAGGCTCTGCAGCGTACTAACAGATTGGGTGAAGTTGACTCCGTCCTTTTTTCTGATCTTCGTTCTAACTGGCTCGCGGGGCACTGCTCGGCAATTTTGGTGTGTGCTGGCAAGGGCAAGGACAAGGATGCTGTTCTCATTGCCCACAACATGGTAAAGAAATGCCTGGAACGACTAGAGAAGGCACCCGTAACCTCATTTGATGTCACCATTACCATGTGCCAGCTACGCGGAGCGAACCAAGGCCTTGACCTCCTTAACGGATCAACCAGCTACGGGAGCCTGAAACTGGGCTCTCATCCCGTCTATGGCCCGTGCTTGCTTGAACTCACAACCAAAGTGGTAAAAAATGCAAAAGACTGTGTGGATACACTCAATAAGGGCATTGCACAGGCTCAAAGAACAGACGAAATGATTGTAGCCTTTTTGGTATTGAAAACGATTCGAAAGAGTTCCTCTGGAACAGAAGTATTTCTCTCTTCTCTATGCATTGCTTACAATCATGAAGAGTCACACCATATTACGGACCTTAAGGATAAGTCTTCTATTTCTCCCCACCGCCTTTTTCGATATGCAGTAGGTGGTACTTGTGTCTGTGTCAGCATGGTGGTTTTAAATGAGATTGATTCCAATGCTTTGGCATGTTTGGAAGCTCAACGGAAGGTTCGTGAGGTTAAGAATAAGCCACCACGTAGCGGAAACGTGCGTAGATTTATTGAATTCACTGACAAGGAAATTCTGCGTCAGAAAGAAAAGCTATTGTCTTCTCCAGAAATGGAGCTAAAACAGCGTGAAATGCAGATCAAACGAATGGAAGATATGTTAGAGGATGCAAGGGCGATTTTAAATGATCCGGAACATACTCAGATGAAGGGTTATATCTTGTATTAAGGTAAGAATAGTTGATATTTGCTGATATACATTTTAAAATTTACCTATGCCGTTTAAGATAATGAATAGGACTAGGCACATTAAAAAAAAATTGTATTATACTTTATATTATTAATCGGAAAATAGATCTCTCTGAATGAACGAATTTCGAGAACTTTTTATAGCTCATAATTCCATACGCACATGTTTATAATAAATTTTATTGAGCATCAAATTATATCCTTTTCTCAATTGTTAATACTGATTTACCTACACGTTATATTTGGTGTAAAAATACGACGTAAAGAGATAAGCACCAATGAATTATCATTGTATTTTTGGAGTGGTAAAAAGTGACACACATTGTGGTTTATTATTCAAATGTTTGTCTGACATAGTTTTTTTTACTTCATTATGAGCAGATCTACGTTTCTAAAGAACGTTGTTACAATTTTTTTTTCAGATTCATTTCATTTCGTTTTCATCACAATTACTTCATACGCTGGCAGTTCCTTCTCTTTTCTATCATTTTGAGTGTAAACGAATGTGAAAATATGCTACTTATCACGAAAGTATATTAATATGAACATTTATACATGTGAATTTTGATATAGATATATATTAGGTAAGAAGCCACATAAAAGTTTCCAAGCTAATTCATTATCTTTTGATATTCTTTATACTTAATTTGTTCCTTTACGCCGATTCATAGGAATTATTTACCGTTTTTGTGTTCATGTATGATTGTTTTTCATATGTGTGCATATATGCATATATTACTTTGTTTTGTATAATGGGTTTATTACTACTGTATTTTTTTCTAAAGGAAGAAAAAGGGGAAGAACGATCTGCGTTTATGTAAACCTACATACGCTTATTTACAAAGGTGTTTGCCAACAAATGTTCTACAAATGCTTGTACTGATATATATTTCCGAACATATTGTTAGGGGTAAAATGAGCATTTGAGTAGAAATTGCTTGCAGAAAGTAAAATAGGATGAGCTATCCGTCTTTTTTATAATGAAAGGTACAAAATATGTTTTAGCAGTGAAATTTTCTAATTTCTATATTTGGTGCTGATTTAAGAATATCCAATATATACATACAGAGGGTTTTTGCTACTAATCTATCTATGTTTATGGAGTCTTCAATAAAAACAATACTCTGTTTCCGACCTTGGTTATTTTTCATTTTATTTCAGTTTAATACACACCGTTCCTTTGTAAGCTTCGAAACTTTCATTTACCGGGAAATAGTTTCTCATCTGAGTTTGTTTCATGCGTTTTCCTTGGTCGTCTCGAAGCTCCAAGTCTGCACCATCACCACAAAGAGTTCCCAACACCTCCAACAATTCCAAGGTGAACCTCCAAATTCCAGAACCCACCGATATGAACTATCGAAATGGTCCCTCTGATGGCTCACCACGCGCTTCCTATCCTAACAAGGTTGCCATATCTCTGCAAGGGCCACAGAATTATGGGCCTCAGGTCGATTACGCCGGTCTTGAGTCGTACGGCGCCAGCATTGGTATGGGCTCGCGACACGGCAGTTTTGCTGGGCTCCGCGGTGGGGAAAGCCTTTACCGAGGCCCCATTGGCACTGTCCCTGTTATGAGCAATGTGAGCAGTTATGGGAGGGTGGGCAGTATCCGTGGCCTGGGCGGGGGCTTTGGCTCAATGGGACCTGGTATGATGGGCTCAATGTACGGCGGAGGCTTTGGCTCGATGGGACCTGGCATGGTGGGCTCAATGTACGGCGGAGGCTTCGGTATGATGGGACCTGGCATGGTGGGTTCGATGTACGGCCGAGGCTTTGGCTCGATGGGACCTGGC